ATAAGCAATGGTTCCCCAGGTGTCTGGGGCCCCAAGGCTAGGAATGGCACAGGGCCCAAGCTAGGAGTAGAGAACAGCAGGGGAGATGGAAGGGTGAGTGCGGCTGGTGGAGTCAAGGCGTGGAGGGCTGCACAGTAGACTTATAGTGCACGCACGCTGGGTGCCCTGGCGTGGTGTGCGCGGGCACACCACGAGAGTTGCGGCACGGGGATCAGTCCCCTGGCCTCAGCCGCGCGCCATGGAAGAAGGCGGGTCTGGCCCCGCGGGCTTCTCCGTGTCTCTGTGGGTCTCTGCTGCTGGAGCGTTGTCCAGCCGTATACCACCTTAATTCCCCCCCCCCGTGCGCTTTCCTCTTGAGCGAGATCCACTGGCCACTGGACCACGCGGGAGAGCGCAAGGCGGCTGAAGCTGGGATCCATGAGCCGGTGATGGAGGAAGTGCTGCCTCCGGAGAGGCTGGATTGCCAGTAAGACGCAGGACTCTGCTTAGGCCGTGTCCCAGCTTTTATTAAGTGTAGCTTCAAGTGATCCAGCTCTCTATTATTGAGAGAAGAGTGGGATATTTATACCATGGGGGTAGTGGTAAAAGCTTTGGCTGATAGATACTTTGTGAGACATTCTATTTGCATATGGAAGTGGGTTTCTGCCTTGCTGCCAGACTGCTGACTGCTTGAAAAATCACACAGGAAAGCATGGTATTCCTAGAGCCAGAGGCCATGTTTATGTTATGGCATTTGTGGCGGGCACTTCAAAAGGAGAGTCAGGAAAAATGCCAGGAAAGCACCCCGCTATGAAAGGAGTCTCAGCACATAACTCCGAGCTCGTGACCTATCCGGATATGAAGAGACTTCTGAGGCCCCCAACATAGACTTACCCCAAGAGAGGCCTGAGGGCGGGAGAGCGGGCCAGGAGAGTTAGCCAGTGGTACAGGTCCAGGAAGCAGGGAGAGGTGAGGGCGGGGCCAGGTCCCGCGGAAGCAGTGCTCCTGGGGCCCAAGGAGGGCACCAAGCTGACCTGGGCGAAAAGGATCAGGAAGCAGTACCAGTTCCCCAGGTGTCTGGGGACCCAAGACCAGGAATGGCGCAGGGCCCAAACCAGGAGCAGAGAACAGTGGCGCAGATGGAAGGGCGAATGATGCCGGGGGAGTCAATGTGCGGAGGGCTCCGTGATGGACCCACCCCAAGAGGCCTGATGATAGGGTAGCAGGCCAGGAGAGTTAGCCGGTGGTGCAAGACTGGGGAAGCAGAGAGAGGTGAGGGTGGGGCCGGGTCCGGAGGTAGTGCTCCTCGGGCCCAAGGAAGGCACCAAGCCGGTTGGGGTGAACAGGGTCAGGAATCAGCACTGGCTCCCCCCCAGGTGTCTGGGGCCCCAAGACTAGGAATGGCACAGGGCCCAAGCTAGGCGTAGAGAACAGTGGGGGAGATGGAAGGGTGAGCGCGGCTGGCGGAGTCAAGGCGCGGAGGGCTGCACAGTAGACTTACCCCAAGAGAGGCCTCCTGAATTTATTTTATTTTATTTTTGATCTTTTTGAGACAGAGTCTCCCTGTATCCCTGCAGTCCCAGCTGGCCTGGAACTCACTATGTGGACCAGGGTGGTCTTGAATTAGCAGAGATCGACCTGCCTCTGCCTCCTGAGTGCTGGGATTACAGGAGCGTGCCACCATGCCCAGCTTTGAATTGATTTTTGTACAGGATGAGAAGTTGTGGGGACATGTTTTAAACAATGACTTTATACATGTTTTTGAGATAGGGTCTTGGGTAGTCCAGACTGGCTTCAAACTCACCATGTAGCCAAGGCTGGCCTTGATCTCCTGCACTTCCTGCCCCAGGCTCCTGAGAGTTGGGATTACAGGTATGTGCCAGTGTTGCCTCTCAAATACCAAGTTCTTTCTTTCTATGATTTTCTAGAAAAAGAAGAACTGGAAAACACCAAGGTCAACGCTCCACTGGCTTCTGCCTCCGATCCAGCACCCCCTTCCTTACCCAACAGGTAGGGATAAGCAATTACTTTGGATAAAATGCTTCTGGAAGGTTTGTCTTCTGAGAATAAAAGAATTTGTGACAGAAGTAGGCAGTGACTTTAGGGGTAAGCCAAACAGTGTTTGGGGCAATGTCAGATATATCTCAAGTTATAATTTTTTCTTTTACCTTTTCGCAAATAAAACTATAACAAATAGGGGTTGGAGAGATGGCTCAGTGGTTAAGACTGCTCTTGCAGAGGACCTGGGTTCAATTCCCAGCACCCACATGGCAGCTAACAACTGTCTGTAACTCCAGTTCCAGGGGATCTGACACCTTCTTCTGACTACCTCAGGCAGTGCATAACACAGGTGTACTTAAACGTGCAAGCAATACACTCTTACACACACACACACACACACACACACACACACACACACACACACTCGCTATAGACCAGTGTAGTGTCCTTATTTATCTTCTGAAGACTATTTTCAAGTGTTAAAACAGCAGACCAAAGGTGAACTTGCAAGATGTAGGTTTGGATTTTACCCATTTAAACCATTATGATAACCTTTAGGTTGTCCTTGTTAATTTCCTTCTCTGCCATCTCATCTACCCACTATCACTGATACATGTGTAATAGAAGGTAGGGTCACACTAAGTCCTAGAATGAGAGGAAACCACAAATCACCAGTGGAACAGCAAAAGTCCACATAGCGAGTATTGTGATCTCATTTCTCATTTCCTAGCACAGCATTGTCCAGTAGAACCTGTGGTCTCATGTCCCACATAAATTAATGGCTGGGAATAAAAAGATGTGTTAATGGAGGCTGGGGAGATGGCTCAACAGTTAAGAGTGTGTACTGTTCTTCCAGAGGACCCAAGTTTAATTACCAGCACCCACATCAGGTGGCTCACGGCCACCTGTAACTCCAGGTGATCTGATACCACTGGACTCTGCAGGTACTTGTGTGTACATATCCACACATAGACCCAATACACATAAAATTTTTTAAAAATCTTTTTTAAAAGGTGATAAGCTATTTTTAAAAAACCTTTACCTCCTCTTTTTTTTTTTTTTTTTTTTTTTGTTTTTTGAGACAGGGTCTCACTGTGTAGCCCTGACTGGCCTGGAGCTCTATGTATACCAGGCTGGCCTTGAACTCACAGAGATCTGCCTGTCTCTGCCTCCCGAGTACTGGGATTAAAGGCGTGCACCACCATGCCCAGCTAGTAATAATTATTTTTATGGAATACTTGTTTGCTAATACTGTGGCTTAAAATGTATTATCTCACTTAATCCTCATAACCCTAATGAAATAGGGTTCATTGTTAAGATGAGGAAATATGAAACAGCAAATTCAATACTTGGCTCAAGTTCTTCTTTCTAGCTGTATCTTACGCATAACTGCTAGTCTTTTAAGTCTTACCCAATTCCCTAAGGAGAGGGCCGTTTCATCTTCTTGTCACCATCTGTGTGCACATGTTGATGTAAAGGTTCTTTGAAGGATGGGTCTTTGGTACAGAACTGTTTTATTCTCCTAAAAGTGAATAAATTTCTTGAGTGAGAAACACCGAATATTTTTAGACAAAAAGATTGAATTTTGAGGTTTTCTTCTAAAATCCAGTGCGTGAAGAAGCAGCTCCAGCACACGTGATGCCAGCAGCTCAGCACCTTGCTTTGTGTCTGTTGGAAGTGGGGACGACCGGACTTTCTCTCTTTCCTAGTGAACCTGCTGCATGGCCAGGTTCTCCCAGTCCTTCTGGCCAGCAGCCCTGCTCTGGGGCACCACAAGCCAGAAGACTTAGTTGACAAGGAAGTTTTTCTTTACTTAGTTCATCACTGGCATCAAATGATTAGAAACTTCTCTTTCCCAATATTTTTGCTAATTCTTTAGAGTTAAAATGCTAATGTGAATATTAAATTCATGTGGACATTACAAGCTCTTCTTAAACTGTTTTTATTGGGGCTAGAGAGATGCTTAGTATTTAAGAACACTTGCTTGCTCCACAATCATGAGGAGTAGAGGTGAGATCCCAGCCTATGTAACAAGCCAGGCTTTCCTGCAAATACCTATAACCCTAGCTCCAGTGAAGATGGAGGCAGAAGGGTCTTCTGGGGCTTGCTTTCTTCTAACCTCCCAAGGTTCAGGGAGACACACTGCCTCCCCTGAAGGATCTTAAGGACTTCAGTGGTCCCCTGACCATACTTTTATAACTCTTGCTGTAAAAAAATCCATGCCACCTTTTATTGGCAGTGTGTTTCCAAATGGATTTGGGAATTGTGCTAGTGCCCTGGCTCATCACTCATTTTCTAGTCTCTCTGAAGCCAGGATAAATAGAAGGCAGCATAAGTCATGCCCTTCTGTTTGTGTTTTGCTTTTGTGTGTGTGTGTGTGTGTGTGTGTGTCTTTTTTGAGACAGGGTCTCCTTGTAGCGCCAGCTGTCCTGGAACTCACTATGTAGACCAGGCTGGCCTCGAACTCAACAAAGATCTGCCTTCCTCTGCCTCCCAAGTGCTGGGATTAAAGGTGTGCACCACCACGCCCAGCCTGTGTTTTGGTTTTTTTACTCACCCCAGGTAGGGCATCAGTGACACAAACAAACACTTCTAACAAATGTAGCTTGGTGAACCAATGAGTTTACTTGGAGCGTGGAGCATGGGCAACTTATGGGAGGCTATATCACTGAAGAAGTCTCTCTACCTTCCAGCAACCTTTATCCACCAGTATATCCTTGTAACCAATCAGCTGATATTCTTTCTGTTCAGTGGTCAGTATCTGGCTTAGGCAGGGCTCATCCTTGTGATTCTGTCCAGTAGCTTTATGTGTTGAACCTTTATTGAAACTGTGGTTAGAGCAACTGGTGTAGATCTGAGAGTGAGGAATAAAGCCAGACCCATGGAAGAAGAGAGCAGATGGGCTGCAGAGATGGCCCAGTGGTTAGAAGTGCTTGTTTCCCAGCACCCATATAGGCCAGATGTCCTGCAAATACCTGTAATTCCAGCTCCAAGGAATCTGATACCCTCTTTTGGCCTCTGTGGGAGCATAGGAATACTTACACAGACACATAAACACACAGACATATACAAATAAATATCTTTTAAAAAAGAGAGAGCAGGGGCTGGAGAGATGGCTCAGTGGTTAAGAGCACTGACTGCTCTTGCAGAGGACCTGGGTTCGATTCCCAGCACCCACATGGCGGCTATGAACCATCCTTAACTCTAGTTCCAGGGAAATCTGAAGCCCTCTTCTGTCCTCTGCGGCACTGCACGACACGGGTGCACTCACATACATGCAAGCAATACACTCATACACATAAAATAAATAAATAAAAATAATAAATAAAATATTTAAAAATAAAAACTCTTAAAAAAAAAAAGTAGAGAGCATATGGTGATTACCTGGTGTTCGGGGGCATGGAATGGAGTGGGGAGATGCTGCTCAAAAGGTTTTGGTTAGATAGGAAGAATACATTCTGGAGATCTTTGCATAGCATGGTGACTGGAGTTAACAATACTATATTATACTTAAAATTACTAAGTTGTAGATTTAGAATGTATTTATAGCATAGAAAGCAAGTATGTGAAATGATGAGTATGTTAATTAGCCTCATTTGATCAGCCCACTGTATTTACATATATCACACCATGTTGTATACCATAAAGATGTACTTTTAAAATTTGTCAATTAAAATAAGTAAATTAAAGAAATAACAACAAAGAAAACAAGACTCCAAGTCCATCAGATGACTGAGCTGTGTGCTTACTGTGGCTATAGATCCTGGGACCTGGCTTTGCCATTTTGTTTGCCCTTATCCTCATTGCATCTGGGACTTGGCTCTGTCAGTTTGTATGCGCTTACACTCACTGCTTTACTATGGGCTGATCAGTCCTGTGCAGTGGTCAGCTGAAGTGACATAGACCTAAATGCAGAAATCAGGTGGGGTGGGGGTGTCCTTTGAATGTTGCTTTGTTTCAGAGTTTCTCCAGGATGATTATACCTTTTCAAAGACCTCTTGATTGATATGCTCTCTTCTTCTGAGAGGCCACAGATGGTATCTCCAGCAAGTAAGGATGCCACAGAAGATATGCAGAAAGTGGCCAGTGCCTCAGAGGCTCAGGCTCTGGTGGAACAGGAGTTGCTGCCAGCAGGCCAGGCCCAGGTTCTCAGTGAGGTAAGAAATATATTCAAACTCTTAGAAAAAGAGGCGTTTGTGGTACCCAAACTTAAGACACATAATGGTTGGGTTGGAATCGGAAACTACTGAGATGGTGGCTCCCGGAATTCTCTTTCACTCCCAGCAGATTTGTCCAAATTTCTGACATTGTGACATGGTGTTACCATCTACAAACTTTCCACTTGAGAACTGCATAATTGAGTTACAAAAAAACGCCACCCCCCCAAACCCACCTCAGAATGTTTTAAGTAAGTTTACAAGTGTTTGTTGGGCCATAGGTTGGGCACCCCTGCAAGACATCTCATTTTCATTATTTGGAGAATGATTGTCTGCATCTCCCACAGGACCTGTCATTGTGTTAGTTCACATTAGTCACCTGTTTAAAAGAATGAAATGTCAGAAGGAATGCACATGTATTCTCATATATATATATATAATTTCTATTTTTTGTTTTATGTGTATGAGTGTATTGCCTGCATGTGGTCAGAAGAGGATGTTGGATCCCCTGGAACTGGATTTTACAGACAATTGTTATCCACCATGTGGGTGTTGGGAACCGAACTCAGGTCCTCTCTGTAAGAGTAGCCAGTACATTTAACTGCTGAGCCATCTCTCCAGTCCCATGTTCTCTAAAATCTTGGTGTGAGCAACCTTAAGTCATTGACTCTGTTGTAACTTTGTTTTTTTTGTAGAGGGTCTATTCTGTATTTATGGAAACCAGTTTATAGAAATGGTGTTAATAAGTAGTGATTCCCTTGACACATGGTGGGTAGGGATTGTTTATATTATCATAAGCATTGTTGGTTACATAATCATTGGAATTTGTGTCAATAAAGGTATTGAACATTAACATTTGCATAATGCTTTATAATTTATAAGCATTTTTGTCCACAAACTTCATTTATTCCTGAGAACACTCTTGTGAGTTAAATACCATTGTGTCTCCATTTAACAAATGTGGATACTAAGGCTAAAAGCTTTACTAAGGCTATGCTGCTAATTAAGCTGCTGATTAAATCTGCTGTTTGGCCTTTTGGAAAAGGAAGGTTTCCTTTAAACATGGCAGCCGAGGTCTGATTCACTTTACTCAGCAATGTGGACGAGAATGGGAGGCTTGGTTGGTCTCCTAAATGGATCGTGTGAGAACACAGCCTGGGAGTAATACAAACTTGATTTGCTTCTCACATGTGCAGTTCCGGCCTCTTAACTGGATTGCTGACTCACTGAGGTGCTCGCCCCTCTGGGAATTAGGTATAGATTTCTTGTTGAATTGCCTACCAGCTGGAGGACAAGCAGGAAATAAAGACAAAATTACATGAAACAAGGAACACAATAAAAGTGATTTGAAGGGATACCCACTCTAGAGTGAGTGCAGGTTCCTGTGGGTAATAAAGGGTTTGCGTATCACATGCCATTTGCATTCTCCTGTGCAGACCAGACACCTGGCCACAAATGTACTATTCAAATGGAAATCCTATGGCTGGCTTAAGATGAAATTGTAATTTAAAAAAAAATTTTTTTTAAAAATTTTATGTGTATGTGTATATTGCCTGCGTGTAGGTAAGTGCACCCATGTTGTGCAATGCTTGCGGAGGACAGAAGAGGCTGTCGGATCCCCTGGAACTGGACAGTTGTTAGCTGCCATGTGACTGCTGGGATTCGAACCTGGGTCTTCTGCAAGAACAACCAGTGTTCTTAACCCGTGAGCCCTCTCCAGCCCCTGAAATTGTAATTATTAAAAGAACATTGTGGGGCTGGAGAGGTGATTCAATGATTAAGAGCACTTGCTACTCTTCCAGAGGACTGGAGTTTGGTTCCCAGCACCCATGTCAAGTAGCTCACAACTGCCTGTAACTCCAGCTCCAAAGGATCCAACTCCCTTTTCTGGCCTCTGCAGGACACACACACACACACACAAGTAAATAAATAAATAAATTAATTAATAAATTAAAAAAATAGGGGCTGGAGAGATGGCTCAGTGGTTAAGAACACTGACTGTTCTTGCAGAAAATGATTAAGAGCACTTGCTACTCTTCCAGAGGACTGGAGTTTGGTTCCCAGCACCCATGTCAAGTAGCTCACAACTGCCTGTAACTCCAGCTCCAAAGGATCCAACTCCCTTTTCTGGCCTCTGCAGGACACACACACACACACACAAGTAAATAAATAAATAAATAAATTAATAAATTAATTAATTAAAGTAAATCTTAAAAAGAAATTTCTGGTGAAATACAAGGTGAGACAACTTGTAGCCTGAAGTGTGAATGAGAGAGAGAGAGAGAGTGTGTGCACATGCACGAGAGAGAGACAGAGAGACAGAGATAGAGATATATTAGAAATCAAATCATACAGGGTGAGACAACTTGTAGCTTGAAGTATAAATGAGGGAGGGAGGGAAGGAGGGAAAGAGAGAGAGGAAGAGAGAGAGACAGAGACAGAGATAAGAGATATATTAGAAATCAAATACAGGGTGAGACAACTTGTAGCTTGAAGTGTGAATGAGGGAGGGAGGGAAGGAGGGAAAGAGAGAGGAAGAAAGAAAGAGGGAGATTAGAAATCAAATCATACACTGTAGTCTTTTGGTGAATTTGCTGATGGAGAGTGATGGAGAGGTAATCATTGCCTTGAATGGAGTAGCCTTTGATATGGAAGTGCGTCTTGTAGCTAAGGGCATGTGGCAAGGTAGGAGTCAAACAACCTTCAGGTGTGAGAGTTATCATGCGAGGAGCCACTGGGAGATACAGTGCAGGGTGAGGCAAGACCAAGAAACACTGTTGATGCAACAGTCGGTAGCAAGCTGTAAGGATATTTGTAGGGAAGATTTTTGCAGTGTCTGGGGCAAATAAAGCTCTGCAACTTTTCTAAAGTTGTGAGAGATAAGGGAAGAACAAGAAAGACTAGGGAACATTTTGGTGATGTTGAAAATAGAATTTACTAACAACTTGTTCCTGCTAGAAAGAGAAGGAATGTTGAATAGTGCATTAACTAGTGAGGTAACTGGGAGGGGTGGGGCAGCGTTCATTTGGGAAGAGGCTAATTGGAATCTTCTTCTGCAATATGTCTTTTAATCACAATTCTGTTTTTCAGATGTCCAAGTACCAAGTTCCACAAAGATCTGGAGACATGGTTATGATCCAGTCTGAGCATACTGGAGCTATCGATGTTCTTTCAGCTGATTTGGAATCTGCAGATCTTTTGGGGGACCACAGGAAAGGTGAGGTCTTTGGGAGCATAGAGGGTAGAGTTTTCATTTTCAGTAGATGCTTAAAGGCAGGCAGGCAGGCAGATGGAAGGAAAGGTGAGTTGTGAAAGGAGTGACAGAAGCCTTTAGAAAGAGTGTTTTATGCTAACTTTCCTAAACAAAATGCCAGGTGTGGGAGCATTGCCCATTTCTAATAGTAAGCTGCCTGTTCTTTCAGTTTCTCCACCTCTGATGGCGCCTCCGTGCATCTGGACCTTTGCCAAAGTGAAGGAATTCAAAAGCAAGCTAGGCAAAGAGAAGAACAGCCGTCTGGTGGTGAAGCGGGGAGAAGTAGTGACCATACGGGTACCGACGCATCCAGAGGGAAAGCGCGTCTGCTGGGAATTTGCAACTGATGACTATGACATTGGTTTTGGGGTTTATTTTGACTGGACCCCTGTAACCAGCACTGATATAACGGTGCAGGTCAGTGACTCCAGTGAGGATGAGGATGAAGAAGAGGAAGAGGAAGAGGAGATCGAAGGTAAATTTAATTTTAACATAATTTACAGTTTTCTTTTCTGCCTCAACCTAATTGCTAGTGGCTGCTTCCTGGATTATAGCAGTCTTTGTCTTCTTTAGAATGTAAATGAAGAATCTAGCATTGCAAGCTACGTAGGGTTGGTATTGATGCTTTAGTGGAAAGCTCAGTGTCTCTCCTTCTCTCTCCTTCCCACCCTCCCTCTCTTTCAATGAAAAACTAGCTGTTTCTGCAACTGTTCTGTGTTCGGGAATGGGCAGCAGCCAAGGGTGAGTGAGTCAGGGTTTTCCAGGTTGCATATAAACACGAGATCATGCTGTATTTCTCTCGTTTTGCACTATTTATTTTTTACTTCAATCCAAACTGAGTGATTATAATGTGTTACATGTTCCCATCCCCTCTCTCTTCCAAATTGTCCCTGCTGGTGGAACTGATTGTCTTTGCTTTGTGTTAAGAGCAGTGGTCTCTGCTCCATTCCTGTTATTTGTAGTGTCTACTCATGATGAGACATTGAGGGAGGGATCTAAAAGTAGGTTCTAAGCCTTTGCTATATTCTCTGACTTTCATATGTGATCATGGAAATCATTCTCTAAATTTACTTCTTAACTCTACAAGGAAATCTAAAGGTATTAAGGGAAAAGAAGGACATTTTATCTTATTTTCTACTTTTCAGGAAGCTAAATGGAAGTTTTAGGGTCTCTCTCTACAATGTATTTACCTACAGTTCCTACTTGTGTTAGCTAATCCTTTCATGTACTATAAAGATGTCCAGGTCTTATTCTCTCCCTTCTCCCTTAGAAACCCAGACACTTCTAAGCTTATCAGACTGGATCATGGCTTGCCATTGGAAGCATTACTATCAATTGGGATGGGCCACCACTTTGTTGTAGATGTACTTGCTGGATTTTAGCACTCTTGGACTCTGGGCTACTGAATGCCATTTTCACTCAGCAGTCACTTTGATGACCAAGATCTATAGACTTTTCTAAATAGGTAGTAGTGTCCCACGTTAAGAGTTGTTCTGACACATTCAGGCTATGAACTTGTATCCAAACTCTCTGCCCTTTTGCTCCTGCAGAACCTGTTCCTGTGGGAGATGTGGAGAGAGGCTCCAGGAGTTCCCTGCGGGGTCGCTATGGGGAGGTCATGCCTGTGTACCGGCGGGATAGCCACCGAGATGTGCAGGCTGGCAGCCATGACTACCCTGGGGAAGGCATCTACCTGCTCAAGTTTGACAACTCGTACTCCCTGCTGCGCAACAAGACTCTCTACTTTCACATCTACTACACTAGCTGAAGGATGCTGGGATGGGGCAGGCTGTAAGTACTGGCTGAAGCAGGCTGCCAGCTGGTGCCTCTTGTGGATAAGCAAGAGCCTAAAGTTCTGTGTGAGGTTCCTGAACCTCGTGCCCTGCCTGGCATGCCTGACTGTTGACCCCATGTAGCTTTTCCCTTCTTGGCTTCTGCAGGTGGTGGTGTAGTGCTCCTGTTCTGTGGTTCCCGACTCATGCTCTCGTTGCTTCAGATTCCAGCAAAAACCCTCTCTGAAGGCACCTATGAAGCAAAAGTCTCAAAGGAGGTAGAGGCTGTCTTTTAAAAATCGATTTGCCCTGGTAAGGTTTATCATTCAGGTTGCTGCTTGCTCTTCTCTAGAGCCTCTAATGCCAATGTACTTTAGTAGCGCCTGCCCTCTTTACTTTCTGAGGTGCCAGAAGAGGGAAAAGCACATTGTCCATGGAAGAGCTCAATATTTTGGATGGAGAATGCTCTGTCCAGCCTCTCACCACTGCCATATTCCTGCCTGCTGGGTATTCTTAGTCTCTAGCTCAGGCTGGGAGACCTCACTGCCTTGAATGGATATTATTGCTGATGGTTAGACTCCTCTTTTTTCTTTCCTAAGTCTGTGTTTTTGCCATATAGCAAGAACTTTCATGCAATCCCAAGTGATAATCATTGTAACCTAGGATCTTCTGAGAAGAGCCAGCCTCCCATCACTTCTGTTTCTAGAGCTAGTTTCCCTTACCAAGGGTGCTGGTAGTTGAAGAAAGGGTGGAAATTAGGTACTGAATTGGTCTTAGAACCCACCCTTTGGAAAGTCAAGTTTTAGTCCTCCCATCTTATTGTTAGAAGTGTTATTTAGGAAGTTTGCTTTGGAACCAAATACAGTAAAACCCAATCAGGTTTCCAGTGTTTCTGAATTTATGTTTTTTACATTGAGAACTTAAAGCTTTTGGTGTTCATAGTCCCTTTTAGGAAAAGTAATCAATCACTGTTGCTGCTCACTGTGTGTGTTCTATACCTGACCAAAGCTTGCATTCCCCCATGACAGCCTTTCTCACTCTGTTCACCCCTAGGCTCTGGAATGCTGCAGAGTGTAGCTGCTGTAGTTGTGCCTTGGCGGCCACCAGAGCACCAGGTGCTAAGGCCTCAGGCTGAGAGGGAGAACAAATGAGGCCCAGACCTCAGCAGCTGTCTGTACCTCCTTGTTTCTTATTCTTGTGTTGTCTGTTAGTCTTCTAAATTTTGAATCATTAGGTTTATTTATTACTTTATTTATGTTTTTAAAGCACATTTCATTTTGCCTTTGAAACGGTTTCCATCTGTTTCGCATAAGGCTTCCCATCTGCTCTGAGCCACTAAGGCCACCTCTTTTCCGGAGTTAAAGATGATTTTAGGAGGACTTGGAAAAGAACGTGTTCATTTCTACACGCCAGCCCTGGAATGCTTTGGGAGGAGTCTCCCCTGTCAGAGATGGATAACTCTAACCTAGTCCGTGTTTAGGTATAGTGCCCCATTCCCAGTGAGGATAAGATGTGATAGGTCTGCCCATTTGCTGGGGATCGATTGTAAGGAACTGACTAGCCAGTCAGTGACTAGCCAAGCACCATGGTTCTTGGATTTCAAAGACCTTTGCCTCCTCTGCCACCTTGTTCATGATGCTTCCTTTGACTCATTCCTTTTGGTTGCCACACACACACCTCTCTGCTCTGTAGGAGTGCTCACTCAAAAGGCACGGTCCTGCCAGTACGTCTGTGGTAGCAGCACTGCCAGCACCTCTGTCATCCTGGAAGCAAAGCCCAGGTTGTAAGAACTGCATTAGCCTTCCAGTCTCTAACCAGCACCGTACCTCCGTTATCTCGTCAGTGCAGATTTGTTTTGTAGGGGATTATACTGGCAAAGATCTACATACCTTAAGAGAAATTATTTTAGTAACTATTTGGGCAGTAAACCACAAACGCTGAGTATCAGCCCATTAGACAGTGGCTACTGAGTAATCACTCCTTCCCCATTGGAGTTGAATCATGCCTTCACTAAATATTCTAATCTTTGCAAAACAAAAACAAAAACTCTACTGAGCTATTTTCAACTCAGTGGAAGCCTTATTTTTCCTGTTTATTACCAACTTCTAACTTCCTCTTAAAATGTAGCTATCAGGCCATACATAGCAAGTTTCCTGGGTATAGCACATTATTTGGGCTTTATTTTGTTGGTGTGATGAGATCTCTGCTTATTTTCTTTGGAGTCCTAGTTTTGTTGTACCAGGGCCATCTGAGGGACTGGTTCTCCTCACCTGTGTGTGCCTGTTGCTGTCTGGTCATTCAGTTACATTTCATTCCTTGCTAGTTTTTCCTTAACAGGGTTTCTATGTTCCATTAACATAAAATAACTAAAAGAAGACATTTTCACTGATGCATTCACTATTCTCATATTAAATTTCCGAAATAAGAGAACTTGAGAGACAAAGTATTATTTACTGGCAAGTACAGACAATTAGAGAGAACACATACCCAGCAGATTCTAAGAAGTGGTCACTTCCTTGGTCCCTCCTTGTGCAAGTTTATAGAACCAAACAATGAAATAAATCATCTGCTGTCATCCTTGCCCTATTTTCTAGATCACAAACAGTTGAAAGAAAGGATTTCATAAGATGGCAGAGATTGGGATTCTCTACACAGCGTGGCTGAGTTCTTCAATTTGTTTACTTTTGCTGCTTTGTTAAGAGATGGGGCTTTTTAAGAAAAGAAAGACATATCTAAAGTGCTATTTTTTTCCCAACATCTTAGTATGAAAATTTTCAGCAAACAGAAAAAAGTATACACAGACACATATCCCACATATATTTTAAAATTATAAATTGCCAATTTTTTTTATGTGTATGAGTGTATTGCCTGCCTGTAAGTAAGTGCACCTGTGTTGTGCAATGTCCATGGAGGACAGAAGAGGCCATTAGATCCCCTGGAACTAGAGTTATGGACAGTTGTTAGCTGCCATGTGGGTGCTGGGATTCAAACGCAGGTCTTCTGCAAGAACAACCAGTGTTCTTAATCACTGAGCCATCTCTCCAGCCCCAAACTGCCAATTTTTAAAGAAAGATTCTAACCGTTCCTTCTGAGAAGTATGCAGTTGGGAAATGCTCCCTGTACAGTCAGTATCAGCTCTCTTCTGTCAGCTAACCCTGGCTTTTGGCAGATCTGCTTTATGCAACATGGGCTGAGAGGTCTTCACAAAAATGATTGTTGGTCTCTGTCTTTCAAAACACTTGCTATGTGTCCCCATCCTCTCAAGCTACAACCTTTGCCATTTTCCTCTCTAACTTCATGTTGGTGTGAAGGTGATTGTGAAACTGCTTTGGAAAGACTTCAATCTGTTGCTTTATGATACATCCTCAGGACTTTGAAATTCAGACACAATCCTCAGATAACATGTAGCTTTATCATGGAAATAGGTAGCAGCTTGAAATTAGACTATTCTTAGTTATTTTTCTTATGAATGGATTCATGCACTTTAAAAATACTTTGTTATTTAGGGAGAAGGTAGATTTTTACAGTATATATTGTCCCAGCATAATATGGATATACAAGAGTTAATCTGTAAGCACTCTGTTTTATGTAAATGGGCTTAGATACTATTGTGGAATTTATAATATATACATTTTTGTTTGGATGTGTCCTTCTCAGTCCTTCTTTGAGAAAATTAGGTGAAACCCAGGCCTTGATGGCTGTGATTGTATATTTATATTTAAAGACTACTTCTCTGCAAAGAAAGTTGCTTTTAGCCTCAAAGTCTGTGGTTCTAAGGTATAGAGTCGAGTGACCCTAATATTTATATAAAAGAGGTAGGTAGATCTCTGAGATTGAGGCTAGCCTGGTCAAGTTCCAGGCCAACTGGGGCTACAGGGAGACTCTGTCTCAAAAGAAAAAAAAAAAAAAGAGGTTAGTAAGGAGTGAAAGCAGACTAGAACAGAGGGAAGAGCAAAGCTATTAACTATATCTTAGAATCCACTTAGTGTTGTAGTTTCCTTTTGTTCACTGGAATTATTCTGTAAACCAGAAGCCTTGCTGGCCTTGTGCTTGCTTGGTGGAGAACTCTTCGCCCTACTCTGCTATCTTTTTCAACAGGATTAGCCAGATACAGTGTTGGGTAGGTCTCCTCTGCTAAATGTAATCATGATTGAAGATTGAGTTCATATTTCTGTTCACTGGGACTTAAGAATATAAAGCCTGAAAAAGATAGCCAGATGAGGAAGAGGCCAAGAGGGGTCAGTTCCAGGTCCTGAAGCCACAGTTGTTTTTGAATGTGTCTAAGAAGAGATAAGTTGGATTCGTTTTGGCCAATGCCACAAAGCCTACAACTATCTGAGTGTGTTGGGGTAACAAGTGGGCTTCCCTTAGGCTAACAGCATCAACACCTTTAGTCACACAGAGTAAGTAGGGCAGACCATACATAGCTTTTCCTATTAAAGTTTCTATTTAGTTTCTTGAGCGCCTAAAACATCTGCATTAACCTCTGTCACTAGCTTCTTTCCATATGACCAGAAGTGTAGAATGCTTACTGACCCAAATCTCTTGGAAAAGGGAAGGGAACTCTCCCTTGAGTCTTAATTATTGAAAAGAAAATGTGACTTTTCATCTGAAGGAAGGTAATTCATGCCATTGCTGCTGTGAGGGGTAGCTTGTTAAGGGATGTGTGCTCTGCAGAGAGCAAGTCACTGTACTCATTGTGTGTACTCAGGGAGCCCTCATACTGCTGCTTTGGGGAGTAGGAAATGACTATCAAAAAACAATCATAAACTGGAAATCTGGTTTCTAGTGACTCAAGCAAGTACCCTTTGTTCCCGGAGGCCTCTTTTGGGGAAGAGAGCTCAAGCAAGAACAGCTTATGTCTGTATATATCTGGTTATAGTCAATGACAGGCCCTTTTGCTTTATATAGGGTGACTCCCTAATCTCATCCAAAGGGTAGAGAAACATTCTAAGCACTGTATGTAAGCATTATGTGGCCAGATTGCAGAGGCACTGCCCCTTCTGAGGTGTAGTGTTGCCAAGAAGGCAGCCCAGAACCTTTCCTTTTTGAATCGTGGTCTCAAAGCTAATGGCCTAAAGCCGCATGAGGTTGGATAGCGTGGCTCATTTACAGATAGTCATTCCTCATGAACTAAGTCCAAAGGCAAGACACTGGCTGTAAAATTATAGGGCTGGTCTATGGTTTGAACTCACCATCTGATTTGTATTATATGTATTTTGATTTCATCCATGATCCAGGAGCATGGACCGAAGTTAAAGTCACAGCTCATCTTCACTCTAAGATATGACAAAAAGTGTGCCCCAGAGATCTAGAGATATAGGCTGCTTTATGAAATTTCAAAGTTTTCTGTCATTTTAATCAGGTAGTTTTTTACTTATCTGGGGGCAAAATAATGTACATGAAATGACTTACAGGGATAAAGTATATTTTCCAGAGTTCTGACAAAGGATCATGAATGATTCCAAAGTTTGGGATTGAAATAGTGTATAGTTTTTTGAAGAGCCCTTAATTCATTGTCAATTTAAGGGGCTCTCTCCCTCTACTCGCCATCACTCAGGGTTGAAATGCCTAGTCTGTAATGTTTCTTGTTACTGTCATTGTTCGTTGTAGGTTCAGGCCAGGAATCATCTGGAAAACATTATCTTAATTCCTTCTCACATGTCCTAAACAGTACATTTTTTTCTGGGAAGTTTTATGTTAAAAATACAGCTTGTGTCCCATTCTGAGATTATTATCCCATAAGTGAATTAGCTTTCATTTAATTAGTCTGAGTTGTTTCCATTTAACCATATTAAAAGAGTAAGTAAGACTGGAGAAAGCAAATCCTGTGATGCATGGCCCTGGTATTTCCCCTTAATAATGGGAAGTATTTGTTTTGAAATTCCCAGAAGTACTTGATGCTTTGTAATAAAAAAAATAAAAGCATTGGCAAATGCTCTGTAATCAAAGTGATGGATTCTGAGGCCGTGGACTTCTGGTAAGGATAATGGGAATGCAGGGAGGTGCTTGGTGATTTCCTAAATTACTTTATGCCATTTAGCTTATGTATCTGAAGGGCTACTTCGGAGCTGTGCATTCAGATCTATCAGTTGGTTAAAAAGCGATTGTATTTTCTTGGTCAATATTTAAGCATCTGACGACCACGAAGGCACTCTGTCCTTACTGCTGTATATCAATCACATACTGATGCTGACGTTACAAAAGGGGCCTGGAAGGGAAACTACCACAGTCTTGTCTTTTTTCTTTAAAATATGAAAGAATCCTAATTATCTGTTAGTCAGCTTGTTTTACATGTCACCCTGTCATGAGAAATGCTGTCAAGACCTATGATTTCCACATTAAGAACTCTGTACTGAATTGTTACTTAGTTCATTTGTTCTACTGAGTGGTTTTTCTTTTGTAAAACTGTGTTTTCTCACCTTGTAGCACTGAGTGTGTTGCTGTGATACACTGATGGATCCTGAGCCATGGTTCTTTAACAGCCCAGCTCTGGTGTTTTTATATTATGTGACAGTTCTGTGAAATGCTTTTGTGCATTCTTCGTCTTTTCTTCCAAGTTTTGAAATCTGTCATAAATAAACTTTTTCACTGTGCACCTAAAATATTTGAGTAAGTCTGATGTCTGTTTCGATCCATCTTTTGGGGGGGGGGCTAATGTTCACTTTAAACTTTTCTTTTCTTCATCTTAACAGGAAAAATATTCTGTGAAAACTTGTGAGTTTCTTTCATAATCTATTAAGATTATAAAAATTAAGAAAGTTTAAGAAAAATTAAGACTAAGATGAATGTCTTTCACCTGCCTTTAAATTCATGGCAGAGCATTATGAAATGGGAGCTGGATTTGGGGAAATGGGGCTTATACTGATGATTGGTAAATAGAACATGGGATTTTATGTCAGTATGTGGTCCTCAGTGATGCTCATCTTTCCATGAATATACTCTTCAAATTTGGTCTCTAGGCTAATCATGAACATGATCATGGTGCTGTGTAATTCACCACTTTTTCATCTGCAAAAATTACACCATAACAGATCTTTGACATTTTAAAAAAATGGTGCCTTTTCATATCCATGGTATTCATTACAGAATGAGGACTCATATCTGAGCAGGGAGAGATATCATTTAAATATTTCTCCTGAGATACGTGATTCTAAGATAAGTCTATTACATTATACTCTGCTTTGTTTTGTAAGATAGAGTCCAAAGTATAAAGCAATGATCTCAAATAATTGTGAGTTAAATAACTAAAGCCTTCCCACTCAGCTATATGGTAGCCAACAATAAAAAGCCCAGATGATGGGCTGGGGGGATGGCTCAGTCATTAAAATGCTTGCCATGCAAGCCTGAGAACCTGAGCTTAGGTCTCCAGCACCCAAGGAAAAGCCAAGTAGAGTAGCAGGTGTGTGTGTGTGTGTGTGTGTGTGTGTGTGTGTGTGTGTGTGTGTGTATAACAGAAAGATCAGGAATCCCAAAGGGAGGGGGGTGAGAAGAGTAGGAGTGGGGAGAGGGAAGGGTGTAACTGATGTAAACAGTGTAGTCTGCAGGAGCAGTCAATGCTCTTAATCGCTTAGCCATCTCTCCAGCCCATGACATGTACCTTATAAACATCCACCTGCCTACTCAACACATTTACCTCTTCCTTCAATGAATCTATGAAATTTCTTTGGATGTAAATTCTGGGCTTTTGTTGTTCTCCCGCCCTTTTTTTTTTCCCTTTTTTCACTCCTCCCCAGTACTGGGGATTGGACTCTGCTTTCTCCCGGCAGCACTCCTCTCTTGCTTTACCACTTTGGAAGCATTTTGCAGACTCATTACTTCCATTGGGTTGGAACCCCTTCCACGTGTAATCCTAGTGTCAGATCTGTTCTTCCTCCACTGTGGCCATTCCACGCTGGGAAGGCATTGTATCAGGCCCCATTCTGGCCTCAGTGCACCAGGACCAGGTATCTGCTGATTGTGCTTCACAAATCTAACAAGTCAGATGAAATGGACTCTGACCAACTCGGCATTTTGAGAGAAGCCCTGATTGCAAAATGTTCCTTAAAAAGGTAATAGTCTTTTACTAAGGTTCAAATGTTTGTGATGCCTTCAAAATTCATATTGAAGCTTAATTCCAAATGCAACAGTATTAGGAGATGAGGCTTTTAGTAGGTGATTAGGCCTTAAGGACTCTGCCTTCATGAATAGATTTAGTGCCTTAGAAAAGCAAAATGGAAAGAAATATTTAGGGCCTATTTTGCCCCTCTCTCTTTTTTACTATGAGGATACAGCAATCTCTTGGAATCAGAAGCCCTCATCTGACACTGAACCCAGCTGCCTTGATCTTGGACTTCCTGACTTCCAGATTGAGAGAAAATAAATTTCTATTCTTATAAATTATCTAGTCTCAAATATTTTAAAAAATATTTTATTATTTTTATGTGTATGAGTGTATTGCCTGCATGTAGGTAAGTGCACCCATGTCGTGCAATGCCCATGGAGGACAGAAGAGGCTGTCGGATCCCCTGGAACTGGAGTTATAGACAGTTGTTAGCTGCCGTATGTGCTGGGATTCAAACCTGGGTCTTCTGCAAGAACAACCAGTGTTCTTAA